ATTGAATACATGGTAGATGATACTCAGCTTATGTGCATATATACATGTTTGTGTGGATATAATGACTAGAGGCGATTATGTTGTGTGTTTTATGTTGTAGTTTTGATGAAGTTATATTATGAAATACAGTTTGATTTCTTAAAGTAATTGTAGGGTATTATATGGATTAATGCCATGAAAGTTCTTCCATTTTGTCTGTTTGGTCGGTTTGTGGTTTAATTTTCTTTTGCGGTATATCACCCCTATGACTTATGCAATGCCAAAATCTAAATATTTTGAACACAACTTCGTGGCTTCAAACAAATATATTTGAATATTGAACGCTAAAAATGTATTGCTGGTCATTTTCCTTTAAAAATGTATTATTGGTAATTTTACTATAAATAGGTATTGTTAGGAATTTTACTATAAAACTTTTTTTTTACAATTTCATTGTATTTTGTTTTTGTTTTGGGGTTCTGGAAAGCCTAACAGGTGCTACCACTTCGGATCAGGGTGAACTTTTGGTACAACTGCAATTTCACACCCCTTCAAACCTCCAATCACTCGATCAGTGGTCTTTATATCGGATATTTTTTTTTTTTTTTAAGCATTGTGCCCCAAGCAAGGCGTGAAGCCACTAGGATGCAGGGGGTTGCGGAAGATTTGGAGTGAGAGCAGATAAGAGTGATAGGAGAAAGGAAGAGGAGAAGGATAGTGGGTAGATCAAGGTAATTGGAGATGTCGATTGACATTACATTTGAATAGTTGGAGATTATAGCTTTCAGGGAAACAGTAATTGGGGAGGGTGTTCCACTGGCGAGAGGTGCGAGGTATGAAGCTATTGGAGTAGAAGAGACGGCTACATTTGAAGGTTTCTACGGTGTAAGGGTGAGAGCGGGATGCCAGCCTCGCAGGGCGCTTGAATTCATGGTGTCTGGGAACCAGAGAGAGCAGCTCATCAGAGCAGTTACCATGGAAGTATTTGTAGAAAAGACAGAGTGAGGCGACGGCGCGTCTGTGAGAGAGTGACTGCAAACAAGACGCCAGATCAGGGCCAATTAGATTACATATCCTTCTCTGGATCTTGTCAAGAACTCCGAGGTAAGCAGAAGGTGCTCCAGCCCATATATGGCAGCAATACTCCATGCAAGGGCGAATGGTTGTTTTGTATATTTGGAGTATCGATTCAGGGGAGAAAAATTTCCTGGCGCGGCACAGAGAGCCAACTTTCCTCGCGGTGGAAGAAGCAATTGACTCAATGTATTTGTTCTATCTCAGGTCAGCAGTCAGCGTGAGACCGAGCAGACGCAGGGAGTTGCTCTCAGGAAGTTGACTATCAGACATTTTAATGGGGGCAGGGAAGGATCTCTATGGTGGTTAATGGAGAGTAATTTAGTTTTGTGGCGTTAAAGTTGACCAGCCAATTCTTGCCCCAGTTAACAACCGATTGGAGGTCCATTTCAAGACGCACGGCAAGGTTAGTTTTGTCACCGACACTAGACTTGTTTTTGAGGCAGGAGTAAATTGTAGTGTCGTCTGCATAGATGCCGACTTGGGAATCTATACTTTATTTTTATACCCATAACTGATATCTTTATGAACAGAATACTATCGGACCGTTATAAATGCAAAAAGACTAATACCTATATTTCACGGATTCCATAAAATTGTTTATAAAATACAACACGAAGAACTACTCGAAAGACCAGAAAAGCCTGAGTTACATAAGAAAAGTATTCGAGTGATCTGTAACCTCTAATGGGAACAAAAAGCCTGCATGCGGATTGAGAAAAAAAATCAGTGAATCTACAAAGATAGAAAGAGGAGTAAGACAAGAATGTGTTTAGCCAATTTATTCAACTTATGTAGTGATACCTTCCGGCGAGAACTGGGAAACCTATCAAGATGTATTATGGACGGACATATTCTTAACAAAGTAAGATACGAAGATGAGACTTTGCTAATGACAAACCCAGAAAGGAAACTGCAGGTCCTCTTAACAGGTAGTAATGGAAAGCAAAATGAAAGGACCGTAAGAAGAAAATGCATGGTGAATATCAAGTGATACAGCCAAAGGTTTTGGTGTTTAAAAATAAAGCTGACGTAGGAATTCAACTGTCTGCGTAGTGCAGTAACAGATAACGAAAAATGAGATACAGAAGACCGAAGGTACAGGGAAGTAGCGAAATATGTCTTCCAGAAACTAATTTAAATATTAAAACAGGAAAATATCGTTAAAAGAAAAAAAAAAAAGATTGCTGAAAAGCTATGCAATATTAAATCTCCTTTATGGTAGTGAATGTTGGATAATATCTTCACAGATGAAATATATACTTAAAACTACAGAGATATTGTTCTAGTAACAAATGCCAAGAATCATATGGTCAGATCATGTGAACAATGAACAAGTCAGTGAAGATAGGAATAACAAGGAAACTGATAATGACAATCAGAAAGACATGGCCGAACTTACTGGGACACATAATAAGGACAAAGAGCCTGGAGAATTAAGCACTCAAAGAACATAATGAAAGCTGTTGCAAACAAATTAAAAATTTTAAAAGGTCGCTGAAAAGGAATAAATAGTGATGGCAAAAGGTAAAAATTAATTATAGTAACTAATAATAAGAAGTTGTGGAGAGTAATGATCGCTTACAACCTGAAAGGACTTGATGCATTAAAAGAGAAAGATTGGATTTTATTTCGTTTTTAGAATGTTACTGACACGTTAAAACAAATATTCGTATGACGATTCATATTATTAGTCGGCCATTTTAATGTTTCTTTCGTGTTGTGTTACCAAAAATATTAACATCTTTTTCGAATGAATGCCTATTTCTGATTCTGATTTTCATCCATTTTTTCGTTAATCGTGTTTATTTTTGTCTAACCCTCTTTACGTGGCTATCCCCATACATTATTTCACGGATGTTTGCAAAATGTTTATAACTAACAAATGACAAACATAATTTGGAGCGGTTGGCATGGAATGGCAGCTTTATAAATACCGCTTTTTATTGCTGGTTCGATCTTCTTAGAATAGATTATTGCACTTGAACTGGGTTTAGCACTTTCGTATGTTGCCCATTCCGTTTTTATGTTTTTATTTGTGAAGAAACTTTTGGCATCCAGTCAACAGTTAAATCAGAATCCATTTTCACTGTCTTAAGAATTTATAGGAAAATGAAGGAAGAAATATTGAATGAGATACAGTATGATTAATGGTAATAGTAACATTAGCCGTTTCCTTATAAGAAAACATTTGGCATTTATTAGCCGGTCAACCAGCGCTATTGTCGATAGAAATTTATAAAATCTTTCTCTTAAAAAACATTTTCTCGGAAAAACGTTAGCACGAGAATGCACAATGTGTTACTCGCCTAGTGGCTAGCATCAGCCATGCCTATGGACGGCATAAAGGGTTCTCTTGAACAATTAAAAGAGATCGGTTGCTTTTTGGAGGCGTTAAAATTAACAAGTCAGATTGTATGTAATTTTTTTCAGATCAGCTGTCAGTTCAACCTTATTGAACTGATGAGACTTACAATTAAGAGAAGAGTTAATTGTTGTGTTCTTTACATTAGTATTTGCAAAATAAATGTAAAAAGGCAAGCCATCTTATTTTCCTGCAAATATTTACATGGGACTAAGAATCATTGTTCAAAGCCAAGTATTCCGCCTTCATGGTTTTTTTCATAGAGAAAACTAAGATGTAAATAGTTAAGAGATCAAACACTGAAAAATGTAATTATTATTCAGCTAATTAACAGTGTTCCAATAACTTGGACCGGTTTTAAATGTGAATTAATTGGAAGCGTCTAATGATTTTTTTTCTTTTTCTTTCAAATTTAACAACTTAAGTCATTGATAATTTCAACCATGGAATGATTAACAATCAAACAACGGGTTAAAGTTTCAAGAGTGCAACTGGAAAAATTGTTCGTAAATTTAAACAAACTGTGTCAGTGGTAAATGTGAAAAAAAAGCATTGCGTGTTCGTTTACGCTGTTCAGCTGAAAACATTGCTGCAGCGGACGAGAATGTGGCCGAAAACCCAGACCCCTCTATTCGTCATCGCGCACAGGAATTGAACCTCTCCACAACAACGTTACATCGTTTCCAATTGCATTCTCCGTTGGTCGATTATGTTGACCAAAAAAAAAAAAAATCGCAAAGTGCGCGAAATGCATTTCTGTTTGAACGTCCATTTTCGTAATAGGCTTTGATAACTTCGATAAAAATCGGTCCAACTTATTGGAACATCCAGTATTATTGTGAATGCATTAACAAAAACATGTCTCCACGTAGATATTTGTTGCATCTTTATAGTGCGTATCTCGTGTATCATGAATAATAAATATTGATAGCTAGTTGGATAGAGAGTTGCAGACAAAGTAAACAAAAATTCAGGACAGAATTTTAGCAAAAGAGGAAGATATCTTAGGTCTCTTGAACTCCTCTGTCAGACAGTAAATTATTTATAAGAATTAAGCATAATATTTAGCAAACAAACCTTCCTGTTCGGATTCGTTGATGTATGAATTTCTCGATTTTTTTAAAATTCAGAGTTGCCAATGACATTTATTCGCTGCAATGTTTTTCTTTTGAATCTGAGAAAATTGATTGATTGAAATGGGAAACATATATAATGTCACTAGAAAAATGATACTGAATAGGCGCAATGGATTATTCTTGGAGGTTAACATCATCCATGCTGATGGAGGGCAAAAATCGACCATCGAATGCGTGTACTATCGGGTTGGTGCATAATTATCAGGCGTTTTTGTAGGCAAGTTATTTATTAATAAAAATTGCTGTTTTGTTTAATTTTTTTTTTTTTTTAATAAAAATATTATTTTATTTTCAGGTAATAAAAATGGGTGTCGATAATTATACTTTCCCCAAGGCTATTTGCACGTAAGTGAATATAACGAACCCAAGGAGAATTACAACTCGGCTCTCCGATTAAATAATCGATCCATTATCTATTACACCACCCATACATCCAAGCTTATAGAACTTAGTATTCTCAAGCGGTCACCCATCTAGGTACAGACCAAGTTTAACATTGCTTAAATTCGGTGATCGTACGGGAACTGGTGTTTCAACGTGATCTAGCCGTGGGTCTTTTTTTCAAAGACATAATGATCCCAGAATTTGATATCGGTCCGCCAATTTCATATTCCAAAGGAACAATGATGCCACGGGTAACAAAAAACGACAAACAGTGCAATGATTTTATTTCAGTCATTTTTGGTAAAGAGGGGCTTTTATATATGAAAAAGAATGCATTACAGATACTGACATTAAAGAATGCAGGTGGCCGAATTCAAAACATTTGCTGACAATATTATGAGCGTTGCTTTTGATGTTAATCATCCTGTTGAAGTTCATGTCTATTGTCAAGTTATTTCTTTTATTCCTTTATCTATAGTTGCTTTATCTAGAAGCCATGCCCAGCTGGTCAGAAAAAGCGTTCAATTAGAATGGAGCAAAAACACCATCAGGTTTAGATGTAACAGAGTCTATCTTCAATTATTTTAAAGTACTGTCATTAAAAACATTTTGAATTAATGCAATTATTGATATAACAGAAGGAGTCTGTATTTATTCAATCGAAGTTAGCCGAGGACATGAATGGGTAAAAAGGAAACATGAAGACCCACTTCAGACCACAATTAATTTGAACTTTTGAAATTCAATTTGTCAGTGTGCTACCAGGGATGTAAAAGAGGATATATCTATAAAGCAATTGTTAAATTTGATAAAAATTGGTTGAAAGATCGACGAAAAATAAGAAAGAAACCAATAAAAATTTTCATTATATGGGTGAACTCAATTATCAAATTAAATGACTGTCAAACAATCAACTTATTGTTGGCTACAATTGAATGACTTTTATAGTGGATTGCTTGAAAAACGAGGGAGTTTTTAGTTTAAAATTTGTGTTGAAATCGATTTGTATTGCAATCGATTTTTCGTTTGAGCGATTTTTCGCTAAACGCAGTGGCCTAGAAATAAAAATGAGGTATCGTTAAGCCCGCCATGATGTAAGTAACCTACATACCAAAATTGAACGAAATCGGAGGAAAAAAGTTGAATATCGATTTTGATCGGCTTTATCGATTATTGATTTTTTTAAAAAATTATCGATTTTTATGCTATGAACCTATCTCTTACATTGTACAATGTAATGCTAAGTTTGTTCAAAATCGGTTGGATGAATTTCGAGTGAAAAGGTATCACACAGACAGACAGATAGACCCATAGACATATATATATATATATATATATATATATATATATATATATATATATATATATATATAATAAAAAGGCTTAAACACTAATATTTCATGGTTATAATTTATTCCATTGGAATCGTAAATACGATCCAATTCATCAGACCTACAAATTCAAAAAAGAAAACAGAAAAAACAACTCCGGAAATAAAAACAGAATTTAGAGAGAGTCTAGAGAAGGAGGGAGATTAAACCTTGTGGCACCATTTACCGAGGCAGAAAAAGAAAAGAAAGAAAAGAAGGCAAAAGAGAGGCGAGACCCAAAACGTGGATGATAAGCAGAACACCACGGCTAAGAGACAATGGATAAAGGATATTTTGATAAGTAACAAATGGCGAAAGAGTGTCATTACAATGACAGGGAAATTCTGAGTGGATAAAAGAATCGGGTGTGTTTTGGCGACGGCTGTTTTATCTGGGATGCGTAAACAAACTGCTGGTACGGGAAGGCATCTGATTATCAACTACAGACCGACTGGTCAAAGAAAAATCCAAATGAAAATGTTATTTCGATAAGTGACGAAAAACAGGTGGACTAAAGGGCTTTGATATGAAAAATTGATTGTGTCAAAAGCCGCACACGATGTGTCCACTGACCGATTTCTTTCGACGGAACATCTTTAGCCTGCGATAATAAAATTATGTTATCAGAAATATGTACCGAAAGTAAATGAATGGGAACTTAGAAATGTTTCTTTTCGGGGCGACGTCTGGCCGTGTTAAAGAGACCACCCATTCTGATAATTAGCGATAAGATGACTGACGAAGCCCAGGTGAAGAACAAGAGTTATGACTACCGTCGTTCGTATTGTCCTGTTTGCGGCTAGAGAAAATGATAACTGCAATTAAGAGGAAGAAAAGGAAAAGAAAAGATAATTTTTTTTTAGTTAAGCAAGATATTTTTTTTTCCTGAAACAAAGCCGCGGATTCGTCCACGCCCGACTAAGACACCATTGGTCGAGTGGTGATCACGTGACGCACGAAGGAGGCTGTCGCCGCCCATCCAGAGGATAGGTATGAGAAGCTGCTACGAAGTGGGGAGGGCAGCTCACGCCCCTCTGAAGTATGGTGAGAAGGTGGGAGTAAGAAAAGGCCCCCCAAAATGGAAAAAAGTGGAAATTCCTAACCAGAAATAAAAGAGGTGGATATGTATTTAGAGTTATCGAGGAACCCCCGACGCCGACAAACCCACCCCGGTTTTGGTCGGCGTCCATATAAGCGAAGCCGCAGCGAGCAGAAATCAGTTCAGTTCAGCAGAGTGGAGTTGCAGCAGAGAGTTCGAAGCTCGCAGTGGAAGTTGGTTCCGCCTCGCAGATAGCTGACTTGAAAGATTCACGCACATTCCGGACTCCTCTTCAATCCAAGAACAATTATTTTGAAGAGCGACTTAGATCCAGACCACCAAAATAAGTTTTTTTCGACTTTCGTCCGAAGACACACCGAAAAACCAATTTCTTAAAGAGCAAACAACTTGAAGCGTTAAAACTCGCCTAACGGAAAACAACGTGTCACAATCCATAGAACCGGTCGGGAGATAGACGCAGTCCTATGTATCGAACAACTAGACATAAAGTTTGTTATCTTTTTCTTTGATACCTTGAACTTTTGAGTTTTCATTTTCTTTTCTTTTATGCATATTTGTGTGGTGTCACCCCCGTTGAACCCGATTTGCATTACGGCCCCAACTACTGATTGATCTCGTATGCCTAAGATCAATTCACAACGTGGGTAGGCAGACTGGAGATCAAGGCAGTTACTTTGGTAACCATGAGTTGGAAGCGAGTTGGGACGACGAGGCTGATATAAAATCTAACCAGATTCCCACCCGAATCACCAAAAGGTTAGAACGTCACATTTGGGTTCCGCGACCGATACCAAGCCAATTGGTCGTCACAGGACGAGACAACACGACTGATGCGACAGGCGGACGTCACGTTTGGAGCGGCGACACCCGAACGGAGCAACGAGGAGCGAACAGCTGGCGCCGCGGCGAGGACGTCACAGTTGGTGCCGTGGTAGACCAGGATAGGACGTCACACCTTAACAGAGAGAATTTTAGGAGAGGTGAGTGGAAGGGGTTTAAGTAAGAGAATTATGAATGTTGTCGGATGTCTAATGCATAAAGATACATTTCGTGGTGACATACACACACCATAGACGATTTACAGTTGAAGATCAGAATAAGAGGGAGGGAAAGACGAGGTGGGGGAGAGAGATGGGGTGAGGAAAGTAAAATTGAAATACATTTACTGAAAGGGCCGCTGTGTAATTGAGAAAATTTGACAAATTTAATTTTTTTGTTTTTTCTGTTTTCTTTTTGAATTTGTAGGTCTGATGAATTGGATCGTATTTACGATTCCAATGGAATAAATTATGACCATGGGATATTAGTGTTTAAGCCTTTTTATTATATCCTTACTCTGTCCTGGACATTGAGTTCTACCTGGATTCTATCCTCTCGGATTTTTTTATTCAAAAAATATACATATATGTGCATGCACCTATGTATATATATCTATATATTTTGTATATGTATGTGTATATTTACCACTAATATTATATATATATATATATATATATATATATATATATAGAGAGAGAGAGAGAGAGAGAGAGAGATGTTCATTTTTTTATATTTCTGCGCACTTTTCATTGAACCAATTCCTTTTTTATCTGCCTTTATTTTTCACATAATTAAATTTCAATAAGAAAATCATTTTGGTAATTTCTCATCAAGAGGTGAGGTTTCCATATTATTACATCACGCTATCTTGTTCTGTGAAAATTCTCAAGAATTAAAAATTATTAAATTAAATGAAGCATGCTTTAGTAGTTGAAGAAGTGGTATATTTTCCCAGGGTGCTTGCAACCAATATTCAAGATTATCAGCCAGAATTTTGAATGCTAGTTTTCAAGACGTGTAAGAACATTTCACTCCGAATATTAATGTAAAAACAATTTTTCAAATCCTCTCCCGGCCATTTTCTGTGAGAGGCGGATTTATGCTAATGGAAAATGGAAATCGTGGCAAATTTTCAATCAGGATAAAAATAATGTAAAAATATTCTAAAAATGATTGCAATATTTTCAATTTCAGTCGCAAACACCTTGATTCCCAGTCACTTTTTTTTACATAACCGGCCACACGAAACTAATAAAATACCAGACAGCAAAACATCAACATATTTTACTGCAACCAGACGCGCAATAATTATTAACAGGAGCTATAAGAAGCAATAATAAACTTAATATTTCTGTCGTAATTCCCGAAAACCTGAAAAATTTCTAATATATTACAGAAAATTGTTGTCATTAATCAAAATAACCCCATCAAAGCTAAACTAGCGATGATCAACAGACTGTATTAATTTCATTGTATTTCTTGTCACAAATCAATTATCTCTATTGGAGGAGGCATGGTGTAGTAATGGATAGCGGTTCGGATTGAGAAATAGTAGAGCCGAGTTCGAATTCATTACATTCACTTACGTGGTAGTACCCTTGTGAAAGGTATGAATCCTCTTTTTCTCTCCCCCCACCACCCAAGCTATGGGTAAATAGACCAGGTTCTTGGATGGCAACTGGTCTACCGCAGAAAGAAATGGCAACCTACTGCGGAAAAGATCTGTTTCGTCAGTCATGTATCGAAAGATACATGCTTGGGTGAGCATTACCACTACATGTCACTTATCTGATCGAAGTTCTATTAAAAAAAAAACATCTAGGTACCCACAATTTACAAAATCACTTAAGATCATTTATGGCCGCAAACACTAAATTTCTATATAAAACACATTACCGGAAACATCTCGCTTTAAG